AAGTTTAGCCCAACATGCCCAAATTAACCAAAATCCTTCAAATTGAGCCCCCAATTGAACTCAAAATCATTTCAAGTCTTCACCAAAAATCTTCATGACAATCATCTACACAATGTTGACCAATTAATTGGACTCAAGGTCAAGGCTAGCCTAGTCTAAACCCAAGCTTTGGCCAAATTGACTTACATGGACCCCTTCACCAAAAATTAACCTAGTCATGTCAAATTGGCCAACCAAAGATCACCACAGCCACTAAGCCCTTCCTTTGGACCAGGATAAACCTTAGAAAACCCACCAAACCAAGTTATGGACCAATGGGTCCCTAAATTAAGGGATTTATGCCCATATCTGGGTCTTAAGGCAAAAGCCTCACCATTATGACTAACCCTTGGGGGTAAGTGATAATTGAACCTCCCCCTTGCTCACCTGACCTCTTGGCCAGCTCCCCTGCCCTTGCCGGCTGGCCTAGTGGCCGAAAAAAACCAAAATCAAGCCACCTCATCCAATTTTAAGTTTAGAGCCTCTATGCCCTCCACATAGGCGCACTTTGCACCCTTCAATTGACCCATAGAGCAACCATTGACCATTTTTATAAAAGCTCACCTCCATGGCCAAGGGGAGAGATGCTAAAATTTTCTCAAAGAGAGACCTCCAAATTGATCCCACAGCCTCTTTGAGTCCTCGTCAGCTCAAGCCAACAATTTTCCCCCATTGATCCCCACTGTGGAAGCTCAATTTGGAGCTCAATCTTCTGCCAAAACCAGAACAGAACTCCCCATAGCTCCACAGTCCACCAAACTCTAATTAAACTCACCCACACCATCACCACAGTGAAAGAAGAAGAAGCCTCATCAAATCCCCCTCATATAGAGCTCCTAGCATAGCTAACACCTGAAATTGAGCTTGGTGGAATTCATACCTAGACCTTTCACCACAGCAAGAGGCTCAATCCATAGCCTCCTTGGACCTCCACGAATGTGCCGAGCACCTCTGATTGAAGCTTCCCTTCTCAGAGAAAAGCTATTGAACTTCCCCTCTTCCCGAGCCTATTTTGATTCTCTATTTGATTAGGGTAGTTTCATGGCATGTTTAATGTATAGATATGTTCTACTAGTCAAGAGGAGCATTTAGAAACAAATTTTACTTGTTTTGGTTGGGAAATGAGTGAGATATCAAGGTTTGAAAATGAACGGTTCTCGGGCTAGGGCATTGGAGATGATGACCACGCGCCATCGTGTATCACACGAACGACTTTGATCGCTCCAGATGGAGAGACTGAACGAAAAGGCGGGATGTGTGGTTGTTGGCATGGAAGGCGGTGCCAAATGAGAGCGTGCCACGTGGAGCTTCAGAGTCGTCGTAGGTTGACGCGGCGCTGCGTCACTTAAGTAGAAAAATAGGGCTTTTTCTGATTTATTTAATTACCTAAAACTTTAAAAATTCATATCTTGAGTAGAAAAATCGCAAAAATAAAATAAAAATACCCTCTTGCTCAGTGAACAGAGGAGAACAATGTGGAAATGGTTTGAAGTTCATTTCATTTGAAGTTCAAAACCACTCTCTGGACTCCTGAGTTATGGAGGGGTCGGCCAGAAAATTTACTCCTCAACAAAAATGTGGTTGTATGAGCTCCAAGAAGTCAGTCAAGGTCTGTGGATTCTACAAGCCAAGTGCGTATTTGAAAAGGTCTTCATGTAATCCTTGGGTCAAGGCTGCATGGGTGATAGTAGATTTTAAATCTTAAACATTTAGTATTTTTCAATGAATGCGTGTAATGAATCTTTTTAGGCTTCCGAGGAGGATAGATCTTCAGAGGATCTTTGTAGTTCTTCAGCGACTTTTTTGCACTAGCAATTTGATCTATAAACAACCCTTTGAAATCTCTAAAGGGAGTGATGACTCCTACAATTAAATTGTTGAACTAGAGTAAAGTTGATTTCCTTAACATCATAAAGAATAAATGATATTTCAGAGCATCATTTACCCTTAATAAATGCACAACTAACTCAAAAGAAGCTACGTGGTCAACAGGGTTTGACTTTCTTTTGTAAGATTCTAAAAATTTAATTTAGAATTTTCTTAGTGCTTCGAATTCAATAATGTATCTTGAGAATGCGTTCCCTAATGATTTTACTTCTCCTCGTTCTTCTTCTTCCTTTGCTCGAGGATTTGAAAGATTCCTCCTCTGGAATGTAAAATTGTCTTTATCTTCTTCTCCTTTTTCTAGCCTTGATACAAGCGCCCTTCAATTCTAAGCATTGCTCTTGGTAGATTTTGCCTTGCGTGTCTCGTCTATGAAACCACAAATCCTTGATGATCCAGTTTGTCATGGAGTGAGACTTGGGTTAGGATTCAGAAGTTTATTCTATTGCTTCTCATATAACATTCATCATATATTCCTTTAGCTCGTTGATTTGCTACGTTATGAACTCTTTTGTACAATCCATCATACTCATTTGTTTCCTCCTTGTGTTGAAAAATCTTAAAGAGTTTGACTGCGAACTTCAAGCTCATCATACTCATTAGGATGTTAAATAGTCTTAAGACATCGGGTCTTGTAATATCCGTAAGTTTACACAACTCAGAAGAGGCATGCGTAAGGAAAGTGAAAGAAGAGGATGAATATACTTTGCAGGCCTGTACACTATGTTATGCTTTCTAATCCTTCTTTGGTAGAGCAAAAGAGATAATCTAACAAAAAAAGAGGAGAGAAGGGTTCTAAAGGAGTCACGACACAAGATCTCCCAAAAAAGTCTCGAAGAAAGTGCCCTCCGCTCTACCCTTTTTTTTGTTATAGATGCATAATAAAATATTAAAAAATAATTTGTGTCGTATAAAAATCTATTCACTGTGAATTGATGAAAAGACACTGACAGGTGTGTCAGACAACTCATAAATGAAGAAATGATATATGTCAATCCTTGGTGTTAGTCTTGATTTTTGAGTTCTTTTAGTTATTAGGATTGCTGTTGAGTAGGGTTAGCCTAGCGAGTTTGATTGGTCATTTCGTCAGACAAAATGATTAGAACGGTTTGACAAGCTAGTTCACCATGATAGTTCGATATGTCAACTCGATAACTAGTACAAGATAGTCGACTCATGGGCGAGTTAGTTTGGCCAATCACCCTAATGTGTTGCTTCGACAAAAGTCGTGTCTTCCAGATAGTTCGGTGGACCTAACCCCATCAGATCTTTTGATTACATACAGTGGCAATTGAACGTTGATTTTTTGTATATATATATATATATATATATATATTAGATATTATATATAGTGTAATAATAAAAGTTTTTTGTGTTTAAATTAAAATTTAATATTTATTTGTATCATATTAAATTTTATTCAAATAAATACATACAGATCTGTATTAATTTTATCAATATATAAGATCTTTTAAATGTCGGTGACGGCTGGATTATAAATCATCATAAATTTATCATTAGCAGACGTTTCGAATCTCTCTCTCTCTAATTGACGAGCCTCCCACGTACACAAATTGTACGTACAAAAAAATGCAAATTAAAAAATAAAACGTGACTCACCAAACTAACGGCAGTTAGCACAGAGGGAGTTCCCAAGTGGACGGCTCAGATTGCTCTAAACACAGGTCTTGAGAGGGCTCAGATTAACGTGGCTTCATCCTATCGTTTTCGTCGACCGCCTTTATGTCTAAAAAGGTATCGATGGCAGCGGCAGAAAGTTCAGCTCAACGAACCGTAGATGACTTTCTCTGCTTATGGGTTCCAACGACGACGGTGGAAGCGCCTGCCGCGATGTTCTGGAGAAGTTCGTGCGCTCTCGCTACGCGTCGGCAATGCTTCTTGCCGGTTTCGTGCTCAGCGCCTCTGTGATTGCTCTTCACATTGGCCATGGGCCGACGCTGCCGTCGCTGCTTTCTGGGTTTAGGTTGTCGGGTAGGAGGAGGAAGAGGCCAATCCGGGTTTATATGGACGGGTGCTTTGATATGATGCACTATGGCCACTGCAACGCCCTCCGGCAGGCGCGGGCGCTGGGAGATGAGCTCGTCGTCGGTGTGGTTAGTGATGAGGAGATCACGGAGAATAAGGGCCCTCCTGTGACGGCCATGAAGGAAAGGTTGGTTCTCTGGATTTGATCGCCATTAATGATTATTTGTGAGGTACATGAATTCTGTAGGGTTAATGTCCTATCCCCGCATTTGATATTCAGGGTTGGCCGAATGAATTAATTTTTTTTTTCTTTATTTGAAGTTTCCCCTTCTCAATATCTAAGCTGTCATTTTCCCTTTATGCTATTTTCTTACTTTTCTTGCTCTATTTTCTGATCATCTTTACCTTTTTCATTGTGAATTTTTTACTTGGGTTGGCGGGAATCAGTGTTCCTGGTTTAAGTTATCATGTTTAAATTAGATGTGAACTTTTTGTCTGAATTGTATGCATATTTCCCGTCTCTTTTCTTCACGGGCAAGCTTTTATGCGTATCTGACGCGTGCAACTCTATGTGGCAGGATGATCATGGTCGGTGCAGTGAAATGGGTGGATGAGATCATTCCAGATGCTCCTTATGCCATCAACGAGGAATTCATGTACAAGCTCTTCAATGAGTACCGTATTGATTATATTATTCATGGGGATGACCCTTGTTTGTTCCCAGATGGCACTGATGCATATGCTATTGCTAAGAAAGCTGGTCGCTTTAAGCAGATCAAGAGAACTGAAGGAGTGTCAAGCACTGACATTGTTGGTAATGCTAAACTGTTATGACAATTTACTGTATTAGAACAACCTATTTAACTTGTTTTTACCGTGTTTCTTTGCATCAAAAGATTTCTAGGATACATAAATAAAAAAAAACATAATAATAATATAGGGAAAAAAATGAATTTCGATTTTTAGTTTTTTCTTAGGGTAAATTGAACTTTGGTGTTAGAAAAGAGGAGAGTTTTTGGCTATCTGCATTTTATGTTCTCTTTGTTAGGTGGGCACGATTCAATCTGTTTTCATATGTACTGTGTCAGGGACATTTAAGTGTTGATTGTCAAATGTGGGAATTGTAATTGAATTGATAAAAATGAAACCACCCTTAGTTTGATTTTTATTTTGATAGTGGTATCGAATTGATCTTTTTATTACGGTAGTGAATGTAGGAAAGAATATATGGACATAAAATCGATAAAATATATCCAAGTCATTTGAGTACAGTTATCAATGAATATGACAATTCCCATAGCACCAAAAATATTGGGATTTTTGTGGGTCTTCAAATATCAGAGTTAATTAAAATAAAAAAAAAAACTAGAGGATTGAGAATTGCTTTTAGGAAAAATAACCACCCGATAGTATTGCAAGTTCACAAATCTCACAAATGGAAATCACTAATATTTATATTTATAAAAAGAGGTGACATGCATTGAAAAATTTTAAGACGGCATGTCCTAGCCTATAATGATGTTTCCATATGATGGTATTGTTTGTGGAAATGAAGGAGCATGCTAATTGATTTTGTGCCTCAAGGAGGTATAGTGCATCATTTTTTTTTTATTTTGCACATTTGTCTTGTTCATAGTGAGGTTCTGAAATATAAAATAATTAGTAAAGGACTTTACACTTATGTTCCTTGATAATTTTATGAATTGATAAATTTTTAACTGCAATATGAGGAACATATAATATATTACTAAGGATGAAATTGAGAAAAATGGAGATATTTTCTTCTTCTACATTGGTTGCTAAAGGATCATCTATTTTTTTATTACTGGGGGCATGATTTTATGTTTAATAAATGTTAACAAGGTATGTTATATAATCAGTGACACCTAAATTGAGAATTCATGTTTAAAACGATGTGGTTGAGGCACTGAAGTTATAAGAGTTGGAAGTTATACCATTTTAGGCAAGAGGACATGATCCACATAATTTTTTAAAGAATTGAGTAGATTCCCTAATTTGTTAGTTTCTTCGAAGCTGAGTCGATCCATATATACAAGATAGCTCTGTTTCTTCTTGTCCCGTCTTTAATTACACCATAGCTTTGTAGTTTTCCATGAAGTTTCCAATATTTCTTTTTTATGTCAATTCTTTTTGTAATAGTTGCACCATTGTTTGCCTTTTAGAGGGTTTATTATTTGGGATAAGATTTCTAATAGAGAACCCCTTACCTTAAGTTTCAACGATTTTCATGCTAGATATTTAGTAAACCGGATTATTAAACATCACGATTCTTTTTCCTACATCAACTTGCACAAGAGAGAAAATCTTATTTAGAAAATGGAGGGTTTCTCTACTTAAGATTTGAATTAAACTTGATCAAAGTCATTTTTGAGTCATGCAATAAACACAAATACTTTTTTTCCATTAAATGCTCGAGGATTATTGCATCTTCACAACACGTCATATTGAGAACTTAGTAATAATCTAATTCAAGCCTATAAAACTTCTTGACATTAAAATATTTAATGATAGGAAAATTATCTTGTTTGATGGTGGAGAGTTTCATTTTGATCTCATAAATAACTGAAACATCCTTGACCTTTGAGTAAGTTTGTTTGATAGCATCTCAAACTTCTTTTGCGGTAGATAGAAACATGTATGGCTCACTGATTTTTGGCATCATGGGATTCCACAACTATGTTATGTTCATGGAATTTATTTTTTCCCAAAGTATACATCAGGTCTTTTGGCTCTAAAGGTAGATCGAAAAGATGTTAGATCTTGTCTTTTCATTTAAAATGGATTTTCACAAATTGCGACCACTTCAGATACTATCTTCCATTCAAGCAATATGAGATTTGAAGACATCGCTGTTTTCTCTTAGCTTGTTTTTCACCATTCATGATGGTCAACTCTTTAGAAGAGAAGTCAAAGATATGAGACATAATGAACCAAAGGAAGAGCTTGGACTAGAGGGGTTGGAGAATGACTATAGAGAATCAATATTGGAAGCATAAAATTCTAACCTCTCTTTGATACCATGCAGAAAAATACATGGCTAGAACAAATTAGCTTGTTCATTCTTTCAATGGTATTCATATACAAAACTTTAATTAAAAAAATAAATAATTACATAAAAATAGTTTTTAGTTATTTGTCATTTGTTTTTTAGATATCTTTGATTGATGCCAATGGAGCAATTTGTGCCCTCATTCTTTCTTTTTTTGTATGTGAATGCGTGAGAGATATATCTCCTTATAAGTAATGAATTTGCATCATCTGATTTTCCTTATCTATACTTTTTCATTGATCCAACAACTCTTATAATGTTTCTTAATGCAACTAGCAATGAATGTAAATCACAAGAGAAATCTTAGGATTTAGATATCAAATGCCTTTTAATACTTAAGAATTTGATCTCTTTAATGCAATGTGCAAATTACAAGAGATGATTATTGAGAACCAAATGATATTTTAATGATTGAATAAATATATAAAAATAAAAAAAAAATTGAGTCTTACAAAATCAATGAGCTTCATCAAGCAATTGCAATTTATTTATCCGAACTATAATCTAATTGTATTAAATTTAAACAAAATTAAGAATGATTTCTATCCAATAGCAAGATGTTTAGAAGAAATTGTGTACATAAAATAATTCACCAAATGTAAAGGAAATCCAAGCCCCATGTCGATACATGGAGATAACTTTCTCTGAAATTATGCGTTATACTTGTACTACAACCAAAAGAATTACACACCGCACTTCCACTAACAATGTTGAAAACTAGAATAAAATTTATTCAATTAGAAGTTATCAATTAAATTCTTTAGACTATATATTCAATGACACCTTGTACATATGTTAGTCGATATAGTTGGCACAAGATTCCCCAATTCATTTTTTAATATCTTACATTTCGATATTTTCTATTAAACAAAGATTCATAATTACAACAGCCAGAAGATCTCATAACATCAACTCATCAAACACATTTGTATGGTCAACATCCATTGCATGGTTACTTCCTGGGAATGAATGTGAGAAATAGTAAATATAAGTTGCAAATAAAGCTTCAAGCAAAGGGATTGCAACAAAAACCTTGTGACCGAAATTGTGCTAAGCAGTCGATTAAAAACATGAAGTATACATGTCGATCAAGTAATATACAAAATTGATGTCCATATATCGATCAATGATGAAACTTGTTAAATTTTTTAACGAACTAAGTTCTAGTTTATTACACAGTTTATATTAATTTGAAGTTTCAGATTTGTTGAAAGTGAAAAGTTCTAAAATTCTAATGCAAATATAGAAAATTAAAACTAAATTTAATTGGATTCATTCAGAGGTGAAATATTCATACTTCTTCGACATCTATCTCGTGATTCCTTGTTGTTTTTCTTATGAGTCTCCTAAGCTGTTGTTGACAACTAGTGATAAATCCCTTTTAGCCTATATCCAATCATAAGAAGCGTTGGAGACTTTTTTTACAGTTAGGGAACTTAGCCATCTAAGGTTTTCCAAGAATCTTCTAATCCCCTATCTAGATTACACTCTCCTTTTGGTAATATGTATATTCAACTAGGCGAGTGTGTCTTAATCTACTTATTCTTTTAGCTAATAATTAGAAGCCCTATATCGCAAGAGGTTTTAACTTCCTAATTGATAGATCAGTCGTAAAATACGATCAAAAGGTTAAAACATCAACATATGAAATCCAAAGCACAAAAAATATCTAGGAAGAACTTATTTGTTCAAAACGTCGATTTAACACTTGTTTTACATCATACGAGTTTGAAAGAATTAGCTATTACACATGAGGGAAAAATATAGGAATTTTCATTGAAAACATTAAGGAAAACAACATAAATATCTATAGAAAACTCAATCGAGTTAATAACCCCTTGCCATACCCTACAATTCGCTTTGTACAATCTCAACTCTCCATGGTTCTCCCTTGTACAAGTGCACAAAATCTCTTTCTCACAACTCTCACAACTCTCAAAGTAAAAACACCCTATAAATCTTTCCCAAGGGAGAACTAATGGAGAAACCCATATGGCAAGAACAAGATCTTTCAACTCTCCAAAGAAGCTACCAGACATCGATAATTGTTCTAATTAATCCCTTAGATTTCTTTCTTACTGACACTTCTTCGCTAGGACTTTGACGTAGTTATGCTTGAGGGCGATCTAGGTATGTTAGCCCCCTTTTTTGTTTAACTTTATATTTCTACTTTCTGACGCGTGCTCAAAACGTGCAATCTACAAAACATAGCATAAACACTTTCTACAAGTGTAAAATATGTGTAATATGGAAATAAATCAGGAAATTTATGATGAAAAACATCACAAAATTGATCTACATCAATTCCTCCTAATTTATTTATTCCGTGTTCTTAAGTAACATCATATCTAATTTGGGACTTGTTTTAATAATTTTTGTAGCTCTCGTGTGAAACTTCTTGATTCTTTAACACAATTATATAAGTTGTAATAAAAGATGTGCAAATATCTTATCAGAATTAGATTTTTAGTAATCTTGAACAATCTAATTTTTCTTTAGTTGACTTCTTTTTAGGCCTAAGCATATTTTAAAATTCTTAAAATGGCGTGATTAAAATATTTTAATTTCTCAAAGTTATTTTTAAGTCAATTGATTCTTAAACAAATAACCTCAAAATCGCTTAATCTTTTTCTTTATATAATATTTAAGAGTTCCATAAAAAAAACAAGTTTTATGAATTTAGAAAGAGTTTAGTCACCATTTTTTGATTTTTCATGCTCAATCTCAAGCTTCTTGTCCACAAATTTCCGGACGTTTCTTTTTTTCTTTTTCGACTTTTCTTTTCGAATTATTGCCTTGCACACATTTTTTCCCCCTTTTCTTCTTTTCAAGCTCAAATGTATTTTTAATTTAATTTAGAATTATTATATCCGACTGAGTATATTTCTTTAAGGTTTTGAATGTCTAATTTTCTCTATTGACTAATCCTGAAAGACTTTTTAACATAAATTTTCGAGTCAGGTTCGAGTCACCATGTTCTAAAGGCTTAACTATCCTTGATTAATTGAACCTATTTGAATTACACATTTTTAATTTTTCTAAGATTTTTTATGGTTAAGATAGAAGTTATTAAAACTAATGACTCAGTTATTAAGAAATTAATTTTAATCCACCCTTTAATGAATATTTATATTTCTAATGAAGCATTATATAACATAGTCAAATCACTAGGATTCTCATCACGAGTCACCGTGTTCTAAAATACAGTCAACAATTCGACTATGTTACTTATTCTCAGTCAAGTGTACATGTCTAGTTCTCTTCCCCAAACTTGTTTTTATCCTATGCATGCCCCATGCAAGGGTGCAAAAAAGAAAAAAGCATAGCATGTAATAACAGGGAATCTCATATTACAGAAAATGTAACATCGACAGATGATAGTACTAGTAACACATTACACATGAAGTAGGGGTGTCCATTCGGGTCAGTGGGCCGAGTTATGGTTTGACCCTGAAATAACTCGACCCGAAAAGGGTCCACTCGAACTTTAACTGAATAATAAACGGGTCGCAAAATTAAGACTCGAACCTGAGCTTAACTCGCTAACCCAAATTTGACCCAAAATTTCGTGCTTAATCGGGTCATTTTTGAGTTTTTAGGTTCAACTTTAACTCGACTCGAATAATAAATGATCAAATTCTCTGACTCAAACCCGACTCGAAAAATATTCGGGTCAACTCTAACCCGAATTTTTTTGAGTCGACTTCGAGTCGTGTTGGTGTGTGGAGTCAATTTTTGACACCCTTAACATGAAACATATCACAATAAAATACATCACAGGAAAATATACAGAGTGCATCACAACATCTCACAAAAATATCATCAGTACAAAATATACAGAGTGCATAGCATGAAATATTTCTCTATTGCCCATAAGCGATGCGATCTATGAACATCTAGAGAACAAATCTGGCATCTATGGATTTTCTGCTTTATATATTGTAGTTTCGGGAAACCCTATCCTCCGTGATATCAGCGAGGCTCATGGTAGGCATGAGTTGTACCACAATGAAATAATGTCAGGCTCCTTGTTCATTTTGGCACATGGGAAATTCACAATCCTCTCTTCGTCCTCTCCAGGCTTGGTTTTCCATTGCCTAGTGAGGTCGATGAGGAAGTCTATAATTTATTTGTAGTTAGGGGCGAGAAAGATGGAGTAATAGCTATTAGGAATTTTCCTGATGGTCGAAAAGTGAATTTATGGTGGAATCGTAGGCTATGTACTTCCACCTCACAAAGAATCCCGTCCATGATTTTTTTGCATTCAAAAAGAATTCGCGAGCAAATGGCACGATAGTGGGGCCAATAGTGTAACAAAATCTCTCTCAATCCATCTCCACAAGTTCACTCTCAACTTGACCCTTGACTCCAAGAAACACCACTCTTAGATCAATTTCTTCGCAATCACGACGCTGTGATAGAGTTGGTATGCTTTCAAGCTCACGAATTTTTTGTTATCAAATGTTGTGTCCCTCTTCCCCCTCACTTTAGGTGGCATGGTCTTACAAAAGGCAAAAATTCAAGATGGGGAGGAAAGCTTGGAGAGAAAGCAAAATGGCTGGTGAAAGCTCAAGGGAACAAAGAAGAAAGAGTAAGATCTCATCTAGATTCTCCTCCTAGCTCCAGATTCATGCTTTTACGGATGTTTTCCTCATCTCACGGTGGTCTCCGATGAAAAGAGTTGCAAGCGACATAGGTACGTTAGGGCATGCACGACGAAACAAGAAGGGTGAAGCAAACATCTTATTTAATGTAAAAGGCGGCGTAGCTATGCCGCATCTGGCGCAGTAACGCTGTAAGCGGTGTAGTTATGTCAATCCTTGAACAACATATTGCCCTCCGGGTGCCCTCTTAGCCTCCGCGACGCACCTAATCTCACTTAGACTCCACACATCTCTTCTTACATAGATGTAAAGCAAATTCAAAGTAAAAACATGAATATAATACAAACAAACACAAATCAAACAACAACATAATGCTCAGGCTGCATTCGAAGTAGCCTTTGGTTTAATGTCCTTAGTCAGATCAAGCCAGATATAGTGATAGGATGCCCCAAGATCAAACTTAACTAGGACCTATCTTATCTCCTTTTAAATACAACTTCATCCTTTGGCTATTAAATTTGTAAGTCTTGGCAATTTTCTTATTTTGATTGCTTGCAGCTCCAAAGGATACACTTTCACTATAGTGAGCAGTCCTGACCACCTGGACTCAATTTTCGGGGAAATAATTTCAATCGTAAGTTATATTACAACACCTCTTGTCCAATTTTAAAATCCTATCTAATGATCTTTTGATCATGCCACTTGTTTATTTTTTCTTATACATTTTGGTGTTCTCATAGATTTCTTGTATAATCTCTTATAATTCGTTCTGCTTTAGTAATCTCTTCTCTGTCGAATTCTTCAGATTGTAGTTAAATTTTTTGACTCCTTAATAGGCTTTATTTTTCAGTTATGTAGGCAAATTACAGATCTTCCCAAAAATTAATTTATAAGGGGATATTCCTATGAGTATCTTAAAGGTAGTCCTATAAGCTCATAAATCCTTATTCAACCTTAGTGATCAATCCTTCCTACTTGGATTAACAGTCTTTTCTATAATCTTTTTACTTTTTTTTATTCAACACTTATGCTAATCTACTAGTCTGGGGATGAGAAGCTGTGCAAACCTTATGTTTAAACCATATTTGACTACTAATATCTTCATCTTTTTATTACAAAAGTGATTTTCTCCATCGCTAATAATCTTCCCAGGTATTCGAAATATATTAAAAATATAATTTTTTTGGAAAAATTTTTGGATACTGGAGAATCACAATTAGGAAGTGCCACTACCTCAATCCACTTAGAGCATAGCCCACTGCTACCAATATATAGAAGTTACCTAATGAAGGCACAAAAAGTCTCATAAAATCAATTCCCTAAGTATAGAAGGTTTAAACTTTCAGGATAAAATTCAGAGACATTCCATCTTGCTTAGAAATATTACCTACTCTTTGATATCTATCACACTACTTGATGTATTCATTCACATCCTTAAAGAGGGTAGATCAATAAATTCCTTGTAAAATCTTAGTTGTGGTTCTAAATTATCCAAAATGTTCCCTTAATTTTGAATTGTGACAAAATCTAATGATATCATTGACCTCTTTCAAGAAAAAACATATGTTAATGATTTGGCCCTTTTCTTAAAGAGAAAAGAGTTCATCCCAATTGTACAATCTAATATAAGAAAAAAAAAAATCTTCTGATGGAATGTCAGATCATATGGAATAATCTTACTGGCAATAAAATTCATGATATATCATACCATGGAGTGTTTCTATCTGAAAGAGAAAATACTCTTTAGAAAAATTCTCATTAATGTCTAAAATGAATTCATCAGAATTTTTCTGCTCAAGCCTAGACAAGTGACTTGCTACCTGATTTTCTGGCGGTATGTCAGATCAGTAGGATGATTGTTTATAGTACATGGTGTAATGCATGTTAATTGATTACTCTAACAGCTAAGTGGTTTCAATGTTAAATTTAAAATTGACTCTCTAGTATTTACTTTATCTTGATCGGTTATATTGTGTTTATGGGCAACTCAAATTGTGTTGTTTCATTTGTTTCGCCAGGTCGCATGCTCCTTTGTGTACGGGAGAGAACTAGTGGCGATCATCATACTCATTCTTCCTTGCAAAGGCAATTTAGCCATGGGCACAACCCTAGGTTTGATGATGGAAGATCTCCACAGGGAGGAACTCGTGTATCACATTTTTTACCCACCTCTCAACGCATAGTACAATTCTCAAATAGGAAGGTAAGATGGTGCCTATATCTACCATTATCCTATTCGGATTTCATTAATTCTTGAAACTCAACATGTTTTTTAAATTTTATTTTTACTTATTAAAGGTTCATCTTTCTTTGATTTATTCTGTTTGTATTTTAAATTTTTTTCTGTTTGCGCATAATCCAAAAGTGCAATGGGCTTTTGGGAATTGTTATAGGTTAGCCATGTGCGAAGTTTCATATAATGTATGTGGCTTGTACCATTGATGAGGAGTAAGCAAGATTACTCCTAAGGGATATGTTCAATATGATTCAATGTAAAGATTTAATATATGTCAAACTTCTATGTTGACTATAGCAGGAATCTATATTTTCAGAACATATATATCTGAAGTAATGACAGTGATGTTTTCTTGATATAATTTTAATAACTTATCTTATACCCATTTAATGAGTTTGAACACCATTTGTGGTTTTACTATTGTTATTTTCTTACTATCTACTTATTGCTTGGTGGATGGTAACCTCACAGGCTCCATACAAATTAATCTTATTTTGGAGGACATTCTATGCTGAAGATTTCAAGCCTAACTTTTGCCAAGCATTTTTTTGGTATCTCATCCTATTTGTGATTTTAAACTTAACTAGCCAACTATTTTTTGGTTGCTTAATCTATCGGTATTCCCACCATTTTTTTGCTATTCCTTTCACTACTAAAACTACTAGAGATAAGGATATTTTCTATAAGATTAAATTTAAATGTGTTTGTTTGGTTACCTCATAATATTAGCCCTATGCATTCACGATTAAGGTAAGCATGTGTGTTCCTAATTTGTCCTTGAGTTGTAATTTTTCTAAAGTTGATTTGAGCAGTCTATATATTTCTTAAACGAGTTATTTTGATACTTGAGTGCCCTCTCAATTTTGACTAAACATTCTTAACTTGAATTTTCCTACAAATCTAGAGCTTTTGTTGTAATCAAGTTTGATTAGTAGCTCATTAAACTCGATGTACAATGATGGGTTTGAAATCCATTGGAAGGCCCATGTAGGGAAGTTTTTTGATTCGTTATTCTAAATTGGTTGAAGTATCAATGCTTACTATTTTGTTTGCCAGAGAAGTGCTATAGACTTGGATTTATAATCTTTTGTTTAAGTGGATTCGATATAAATCTTGCTTTGAATATATGATGATCTGTAAGGACGTGTGCTATAATTTTGTGCTTTGGACACGGCAGACTGTCTTGTAGTGCTCACCAGGATTCTTATATCAAGTAGGAGTCAATAAGGTTATACTTTGATCCTTGATGCAACTACATGATTAGCTTTAGTTTTGGGTGGTGTTAGTATGCTTTGCATACATCGATGCATTTGGCATATACACTTATATGTACATGACCGAAGGTGAATATCTGATTTTTACCATCATTTGGAATCTTTATGAGAATATCTTGACATATTGGACACTTTTTAAAGAAAATTTTCAAATGTATAATGAACTTGTTTGCTTAATTTAATGGTTGATTAGTCTGTTTAAAGTTGATGATTTTATAAGTTGGCCCCAACCACATGGTGAGATTAGCTGTGCATGAATTTATTTCTTGTCATTTAAATTGCAAGATTTATTGAACTTCCAATTTTTTTTATTGTTGACTGAAACGCTTAACAATTCTTCATTACATATCAGCAAGTGTCAAACAAAAATTTAGTATATTCAAGTATAGTTATAGGCATGTTAAATTTCATCTCCTTTTTTGTTTCAAATTTAGATTTTGGTGCAAGGCAAATTTGAAAATTTAGGGTAATTTGTTCAGATCATTATCAAATATATGTTGAATAATTTTGTGGGTTGGAAAAATGTTTTTCAATCTTATTTTGTTTCTGCTAATCAGAATGACATTCCTATGCATATTGATGACGTCAAAGTTAACCAAGAATTGCATTAGCCTTAGCTTCATGGTAAGCCAAAAGCTTTTGAAGAATTTTAGACTGATGTAACGGATCTGGACCATTATTAATTGAGGGAGGTGAGGCCTTATGCTAGACCAATGATCAATGGCAAAGGGTTGATCTTCAAAGCTTTAGCAGGCCAAAATTGATAACACTTGGCGTTCAATTTAGTCGAACAAAGACAAGCAACTTTGCATCGATTGGACTGAGTTGTCTTAAAATTTTGTAAGAATGTATTTTATTTTTTATTTTCATATCCTTTTTTTTTCCTCTATAATTTTTGTTTTAATTTTTCTTGTTGGTATCTACAAGAACATTTGGACATTTTATTCCCCTTCTAGTGACCAGGGAAATCAAATAAATGGGCGGGCTTAAATTCCTTAAAAAAATTTGAATTACAATCATTCTTAAGAATAACAGAGGAAGGGTAGGCCTCATGCCATTCCAAAGACAAGTGATAGAGGGGAGATTTTGAAGTTTCTATCGAACCACAAGTTAGTTATATGAGTCTCTAATTTAGCCAATACTAAGATTAACAAATTTATAGTAATTTCTCCACATTATTTTGAGCATTTATACGCATTTATTATAATTATCTTTTTATCTTTACTATTTTTTTATTTTTTACTTTCTTTTTTTTCTTGTTTGTTTATGAGAATGGTTACTATATTGAATTTTCTTTTGTTTAGTGATTGAGAAGATTGGATAAGATACAATGATAAGCTTTAGATAAACCCAAAAGTCACCTCTATAATAATTCAATGCTTAGTTGTCGAAGAAGAAATAATCACTATTTATCATGGCCAAAGATTAATGAAAGAAGAAGAAACCTCATGTTGGACCAAATGTTAGTGGTAGTGGGTTGGGTTTCGAAGTCTGGTCAGACCAAAGATCTACAATACGGTTTTTAAATGGTAAATTGGGTTAAGCCTAAGACCGACGATGTGGTGTCTTCAATTTCTGTAACGTCAATCATTGTCTCTTTAGTTAAACATTAATCATTGACTCCTTAGTTATTCATGTACATGCTCACGTTAGGAATTATCCACACTCACACATAGAGGGAGAGGAAATGACACATTTATAGGAGTTTTAGGTATCGAAGGATTTAATTAAGTATTGGGAATAGAGTGGAATGGAGGGAAAATATGTGATTCAGCAAAGAGATGGGAAATGAAAATAGCCTGCAGCTACTATTCCTGGGGATTTGAAGGACGAAAAGGAATGTGCATCAAAATAGCAATAGTCAAGGAGGTACAAATGTCAGGAAGGATTCACCCCCTATCCTCTAACAAGATATAAATACACTACCTGTATGAGCAAGGTTATAACTCTCGTAAGGAGAGCATTATGAGTAGAAATCTCAGCCTAACACAAATTTAAACCAGAAAAAATGTCCAACCAGTCCAAAAGAGAAAAAAAAAATCCCAAAGTAATTAACCCTGATACTAGTGCTAATTAAGAAAAATAAGTCTTATGAGGCCAACCTAGTCTCTATGGTTGGAGGATTCGAATCAGCTAAAGAATTGAATTTGAGAGTCAATTCAACTCTCTCGCGCATCCATCTAGGACATTCATGTAAAGGGATGTTTGTATCATTCCCCTCGTATAGGAGGGCCTTTGGCTTCTTAATTGGAAGCATCTGAATCCTTATAGTATGTTGATAAGTCTGCAACATTGATAGTAACAGAGATGCACATATTAGTCTTGTATGCATTAACATTGATTTTCTTAACAATCATGAGTGGGCCGTCAGCTCTAGGCTTGAGCTTTCTGATAAAATTTGCAGAAAATTTTTCTTTCTCTATTCCAATTCACACCAAGTCATCTTTATTAAAAACCATAACACTCTTGGACTTGTTAGTCTATATTTAATACTTAATGTTTTGTTTGACAAATTCTTTTTTTATCTGCTCATATAAGGTCAAAATTTTTCTAACAGGCCTCCGCATCAACATTCAACTTAGTAGTGGGAAGATTTGGCACTATATCTGATAGTGAGAGAGGGTTTCACTTGTATACATTCTCAAAGGGGACACGACCTGTGAATTGATTAGTGGATCTGTTGTAAGCAAATTCAACATGCGAAATAGTCAAATATGCTTGATGTTTTTTTACTTTTAAAACATCCGTTAAGATTTTTCAAACAATGATTTATCATGTTTATTTATCCATCTATTTGTGGATGTGCTGTAGAACTAAATTTGTGCTTTGTACCCAACTTCATAAGGTCCTCAAAAAAATGAATTAAAAAATTTCAAATTCTTGTTGGAAGTGATGGTTGAGGCAAATCATGAAGATGAATTTCTCTGAAATATAAAATTGTAATATGCAAAGCATTCATTATCTTGTGACAATATACAAAATATCTCATCTCGGAGAAGCAGTTCACTACCACCTTAATCTAATTCTTGCTCCATATGGTCAGTAAGGAGACACAATAAAGTTTATGCTCTCATCTAGTCAAGGTGACTCTAAAATGGGTACAGAAGTATATAAACCCTTATTTACACTTTGATCTTGGCTAAGCTACAAACTTTGCACTTTCTAACATGCCTCTTCACTTCTCGTACCAATCTAGACAAATAAAATTTCTTTTTCTCTAAGAAAAGAATTTTGTCTTTTTTCAAAGTGTCCTGTCACTCATCCATTGTGCACTATTGTAAGATAATCTCACTGAATGAACTCTTAGAAATGCACAACTTATTTTGAAAGAATAAATGATCATAAGATCTTTTATATTGCTTATAAGTTATCTTTTGAAAACGAGCATAAATATCATGAAAGTGTTGATCAGTGGCATATAAGATCCTTCAACACTATGGAGCCAACTACCTTTAATTGCATAGTGGTAATCAGTAACTGATGATTATTTTGTTTTGGCTCTCAACTTTGTTATTCAGCACAAAATGGAATGAGAATAAAAACTCTATTAAGAGCTATGTCACCTCTTCAACTTCCTCTGACTACTCAAGAGTTTAGTATCTTATGATCAAATTTTTAGATGATGAACTTATTAGACAATAAATAATGACTTCAATGGACGCGGGCTCTCGCTATGGCGTAAAACTCCTTATTATAGGGGGAATACTTTTATCTGGAATCATTTAACTTCTCACTGAAGAAGGTGATGGGTTATCCACATTGACTTAATAACTGAAATTCTTATATTGAAGGTGTCATGCTTCACCCATACAAACATCTGATTGAAGTATGGAAGAGTTAGAATAGGGACTCGAGTATTTTTTTTTTTCAAAACATCAAAGCTACCATGGCCATCAACTGACTATGCAAACTTATTTGCCTTGAGGTTGTTTGCAGGATCAGAAAGTGATTTTTTTGGATAGTCATACAACAGCTTTGATGTGGAATTTTGATTTTGTCAAGTAATTGTAACTTTAGGTTGTTTGCATGCAACACTGTCAAAACTGTGTGTAGAAGGTGAATTTATTTCTTGAGCTGTTGTGATAGGATTCTCCATAGAAATTAGAAAAAAAATAAATATTTTATTTTTACAAAGCAAATTATACAACTATAAACATATAAAATAAACTATAAACACCTACAATTCAAGAGGTAGATGATTTCTCCCATTTTTTGCAATTTGTGAGGTAGGAAATCTCTTAAAAACCATAAACCTAACACTCACAATAATAATTTCATGCATAAGCATATTAGTCTTATTTATACTAAACAATAATAAATGACAAAAGACTAAATTTCCCTTAGGTGCACAAAAGACAATATTTCCTTTTGACTAGACATCAGTGTAACAATATTCTCCTACTAAAAGACACATTATCCTTCAGGTGGGAAAAGTGAGGGTGTTCCTCGATCGCAGATGTCCCTATAAAAGCTCAAATCTCTCCCTATACTTCATGACAGTCTCTTCTCAAGTCAATACAAAGAATTGATTGAGTTGATCTCCTTCTCGAATGGTTGTAAGACATTCCAACAAACTATCCTTACATTCTTCTCACAAGCGAATCGGGTATCTAGCCTTCTACTATTGAAATCATGTCAAGGTTTGTACCTCTAAACATAATCCTACTGCCATGAGCTTCTCCTCCTTATTTAGGCCATTTACCACGAAATGCCGCTCCACCTGATACACCTACGTCCGTTTTTCCCCTCAAAGATCGACATCTTTAATTTCCTAACCTTAGCATCTCCACCCTTTCTTCTTCCTCTGTTGTTTTCCCGAATGTATCGAGGGTAAAACTCCATTCTTCGATCATAGCCATATCATGGTCCCTACTTCTCTCTTTATTCATGCTTTTTCATTCTCCTTGCATACCTCTTCTGTATGTTTCAGCCCAATTGTTTTTATTTGAAATCTCTAATCCACCCCAAGCAGAGCCCTAGGAGGGGATTCTTAATGTTGATGCTTTCCTCTTCGTTTTCCTCTCGTTTGATCCCCTTACCTTTCGATTTAGCTAAGGATTCTTTGGTCACCCTTTCGTTAGGGTTTGCAAACTGAACTACTGGCGGGGTTTTGGATTGCATCTCGATAGGTTTCCTCATCATCTCGTCTAAGCGCTCGAATCAGCCCTCAATTCGGTTTTTGATAGAAGAAAACCTTTAGTCTAAAGAGAAATTGTCCTTCTTTTTTGGAGATCATTTTCTTCATCCCAAATTTGATTTGATTCATCTCTTCCTCTTTACTTTTCCAAATTATTTTCTTTCGTGGATGTTATTACTCTGTATGATTTCAGAACTTCTTTACAGTGAAATTGCAAGGTTTGAAATTTTGTATGTGGTTTCATTGTGGGACTCTGGATGCCACGATAACTTCTTTACGGTGAAATTGCAAGGTTTGAATTTATGTATGTGGTTTCGTCGTGGGACTTTGGATGCCACGATCCTGTTGATAGCCTCTCCAAACAAATTTCAATATTCAACAAATCTTGATTGTGCAGGCGCGTAAAGCTCCTTTACGTTGTGATCCCAATTGTTGTTTTTGATCAAGAACGATGCAGAACTCTTGTATGCCTCAATCTGTTCATTTCCCTACGCATGTTTGTACCACGCGATGCCGTCAAGGGCTTCCTAGCCAGTAGAAAATTGCGACTCTGCATCTGTACATGATGTCGATCCTTTGCTCTGTATGCGGCGATGTCCCGGTTGCTTCGCAGCTAGCTATACTCGCAATCGGATCACAATGTTGGAGTAGAAGTAGAAGAATACACGATCGTTTGTATGCCACTATCTTCTATAGGCTGCTTGTTTTTGTATGCCACACTCATCTGTATCGCTCCCAACATTAGCATGACTCATACTCAAATCATGACTGTGTCGCGTAGCCGTGATCCCGTCGTCACTCGGTCCGATCCGTGATTCTTTTTCTTCCAAGAGCAATGACGATTCTCTTCTATAAATTCTCATATCGATGTTCTGCTGCCAATTAGATAGCATTCTCCGTAGAAATTAGGGAAAAACAAATATTTTTTTCTCTAAAGCAAATAATACAACCAAAAACATATAAAATAAAGGATAAACACCCAAAATTTGAGAGTTAGGCGATCTCCACCAATTCCTACAATTAGAGGGGTTAAATCACTCACAAAATAATAAATGAAAATGTCTAAATTGCCTTTAGGAACACAAAAGACTAAATTGCCCTTAGGTTAGGCACTGGCGGAACATTTTCTGTATTGAATTGTTGTATATGTTGTGTTTTTCTTATATTCATTATCATCATCAGTGGTTAAAATCTTTAGTATTTACTGCTGGAGACTCAATCTCGCTTCACGTTTTTTCTTGTTGTTTCTGCAGGTTCCAGGTCCTGATGCTCGGATAATTTACATAGATGGAGCTTTTGATCTATTCCATGCAGGGCATGCGGAGGTATGGCTTATTTGTTCTAATTTGTTATAATAGTGAAATCTTGCTTGTATAGCTTCAGCTGTTGTAGATATACTTCAAATGATATCAAAATTTTGATATATGCTTAGCACTTCATATAGGCGCATCTAATACCTAATGTGGCTGGTTGGCAGCACCACATAAGCTCCTGAGTCAGCCGAGTTAGGAGCATGGGATATTGTCCCTTTCCATTTATTTATTTTATTTTTTGAACTACTAGCTACATTGCCTCCATTTTAGGAGCTTTGAAGCATCTTCTCATCTTCCACACTGTGTATTTGTATGAAGGTAAACTTAGTTAAGGAAGTGTCACTCGCTAATCCTTAACCCTTTCACTCTTGTATCTGTCATAAATTTTTGGATTTTCATGTTTCCTTGAGGCAATTGTCTCTGAGTGGTTATCCAAAACGAAAGATAGTCCTCCCTTTTTTTCCCTTTTTTTTGGGAAATAATTAACGATTTTTTTTAGAAGTAGTTTTTTATTTTTTCAATGTTTATGGCCCAATTTTTATGCACTCTTAATGCTGGACGATTCAGTATTAGTGTTTTCTAATGCAACTTATATGATATATGGTATAATTATTTGTGAAAGAATTTAGGGACCCATAGATCACGAGGCATCAATTAATTCAACGACACACCAAAAGAATTAAAACCCAACTAATAATGAAATGTCCAGAAAAAAAATCTTTGAAATTCAGCAAGGTATTAGAAACTTGTAGAATTAGCTAGCAATTTTGATTTGTGACATGTTAATTTTTTATCAACATCAAGAGTACTAAACAATTCTGTATCAAATAATTGATGAAATAGAATAGTGAATCAAAATGTTGAAGGAAATTAGACTTCAAGTGGATTAGGCAGAGTTACTTTTATTATTATTATTTATTTATTTTTTATTATTTTTTTCTAGGCAGAGTAACAACACTTGAAGGAATTACATATCCAATTTGCATTCACTAGATTACAATAAAAAGAAAAATTTTCTTTCAAGCCTCAGATGCTCAGAACATTTATTATTGGGCTCCTCATCCTTAGGCTCATAGATATGGTCGTCCTTGGATAAACTCATTTCAAATTTAAATAAATTTTAAAGATGCTAAATGATTCAACTTTTAACTGCAAATTCATAGGCGATGTATCCAAAACAGGCAAACCACATAAATCAATTTATATTGCATTATTGGAATGCTTCAGTAAAAGTGCATATTGACAATACTTTAAAACTTTTAGGGCCTGCAGCTTGTGTAACACCCCTTAGGAACCACAGCTTGAATAAAAGTCAATGGTTACTGGCAGCGCACAGGAATCGGGAATGCACCACCAATTGCAACAACTTCCAGTGCATAATTTCCAAACTCTACCTCTTAATAAACAAACAGCTGTTCCTACATATAATTTCAAATTTCTACCACCTTAAAATAAATAATTGTAAAGTAAGCAGCAATTCATACTCGTTAACTGAAGCCCAATATGCAAAAGCCAATAGCCACCACCCAAGCTTGCTTCAGTGCCAATTCTTATGATACTAGGTATGACTCTTCTTAAAGTGTAATATCCATTTTGGTTTTGGGAAATAACATTACTTTTGGTGGAAATTGTAAAGAAACAGAAAGGCTTTTATAAAAGGCTCGAAAAAATATAAGTACAAATGCACTCTCTACTTTATGCGATACATTTCATTCCTCATTTTCTATTCCTCTATTCTCACAACTCTGCCCTAATGAAGCTCCCTTCGCCCCTTCTTATAGAGACTTTGCTGTCGAGGATCCCTTGTTTTGCTACATTGAAAATGACGGGAAATTTTGTTAAGGGGCATTGCTGTAAAAGGTGATGGAGGTGATCTTCTTGCTCTGGTATTTCATACTTTCTCAGCTATGGGGACCAGAACCCTTTTTGCCTTTTTACACCTAACCGAGATTTTCTAGAATTGAGGTTCAGTATGGATAGAAGATGATGATGTCAAGTTACTGCTAAGGGCTTGGTAAATATGTCAGCAATTTGGCCTTGAGACTGTTGACCTCATTTTTAGTGAGGTCTAGTCTTTCTCTTAAGATTTAGGATCTAGCCTTAGGAATCTCTCTTCGACTATCTTAGAACCTTAGAAATGAGACCCGCCTCATTTTAGTTCGACCCACTTTTGTCTCTTTTTTGGAGTTTCGCGTGTGTGGTATCGACTTCTAGTACTTAGAATGGTGAAACCGACATGAGGAAACCCAAAAGGGATCCCTATAAGACCTTCCTAAGCCTTAGGGTGGCCTTTTGCACAATTCGCACTCCCGCGCACAAACTTCGCAATTCAGAGAGTCGACACGTCCGATCGCCACGACTCACATCGTTTGCACTGTTACTTGTCGAATGCTCGAGTTAACCTTTTTAAGCAATCGATCGCGGGTCAAAATTTTGTGAAATTTGAACTCTTTGACCTCTGACGCATTTTTGACCCGATTGTCGACGACGTCGTCCGAGTGAACCCGGATGACTAAACGGACTGCGCCGGCGCGTCCAAAACGTCAATTTTGCCTAGGGAGGACACCCATTTTGTTACGTCGCCGCGCGCGAATAAATCAGATATAATTTAATGTATATATATTTATATATTTATATATATATGTATATATCTATTAATTTATATTAAAACCTTTTTAGCCCTTCCTCTTTAAGCTCTAACTCCCCTAACGCACGCACCCGAGCTCTGTTTCCTTCCCCTCTCCCGTTCGCGTGTCTGACTCCTTCCATTTCTCGGTCTCGAGCCGAGCGAGCTCCTCCTCCACGCGAGAGAAAGTTGACTTCTTATTCGTCCTTGCCCGACACTCTCTGCCCGCGACCT